GATCAAATGCTCTGCAGGCGGTAGCTAGTGATCTAGCAGAACCACTGGCTGTTTTCTATCAGCGATGTCTAGAAGAGAACCGTATTCCACCAGTATGGAAGCGAGGGGTTATCACTCCTATCCATAAAGGAGGTAGGCGCACTGATCCTGCCAACTACCGTCCAATAACACTACTTCCCGTACTATCCAAAGTGATGGAATCAATCATCGCAGATGCTCTGATACAGTATCTGGAAATCCACAACTTAGTAGCTCCAGAGCAACTTGGCTTTCGTTAGAAGCATTCGTGTAATACCAAACTATTAATTGCATGTACTAGCTGGACTGAAGCTGTTGGTGATGGAGTAGGAGTCGATGTCATCTACCTGGACTTTTCAAAAGCGTTGGATGGCTTAGACCAATGAATTTTCATTCAGACGCTTCGGAACTACGGCATTGGCGACCCAATCCTGAGTTGCATTAGCAATGTACTACAGGAACGACGGCTAGTGGTGAGAGTCCGAGAATCATTGTCTGATGCAATTGATGTGGCGTGTGGAGTACCACAATGCTCGGTTCTTGGACCTCGTCTATTCTTGGTGTTCATTAACGATTTGTCGAGATCAACTGCTTCCTATTTCCTGATGATGATATCAAGATATGGGGAAGTATCAGAGGACCCGACGACCACGAACGGCCCCGGTGTGATCTTAACACAGTGTTGAACTGGTAGTGCAAAACGTCCTACCATTCAACGTAGACAAATGTCGCGTTGTACAATTACGCTGGCGATTAGTAACAAGGCAGATCAGGATCTGCTCCAACATGACCTAGATTGCATTTACGAATGGTCAAAGAAGAACAAGCCTCAATTGAACATGGCTAAGTGCAAAGTGGTACATCTGCGTCACCAGCCGGTGAGCGCTTACAAGATTGGAGACCACACCTTGGAGAAGGTTTATCAGGAGCGTGACTTGGGTGTATTGGTACAGGAAGATCTCGGGTGTTCAAAACAAGCAGAGAAGGCGACGAGAACCGGAAATCAACACTTCGGCCTTCTTCGCAGAGCCTTCGGTCGGTTTGAACCCTCAATCTTTCCCCAAATGCTTAACGCCTACGTGCGACCTCACGTGGAATATGCTATTCAGGTGTGTCAGCCGTGGAAGAAACAGGATCTCGTTGCTCTCGAGACTCCTCAACGACAAGCAACCAAGAACGTGAGGGGCCTCTTTCATCTGCCCTATTAGCTTAGACTGAAATCTCTAAGAATGTACAGCAGTCGATATCGGCTTTTGCGGGGGGGATCTTGTTGGGCGGAACCTGGGATACTAGTCGGTAAGCAATGACACGTAAGACGTGTCAAATACGACAGTATAGAAGTCGGAGGAGACTGAGCCCAACGTGTATTGTGCAGGCTACAAGAATAGGAAGCGAATCAGACAAAGCGAGAAACGTGCAGCGAGGAACTCACCAAAACGGTTTGTGACAACGGATGTGCAGTCACTTAAACAAATGGACGTTCCGAAGGTTAAAACAACCATAAAATCCAATGTTACAAGATACTGAAAGAGCATGTTTTCTATTGCACTACAAGGGCCTCCCCCTAGAAGGCTGAAGGATGGAAGCCTTCGATGGAGCTGCTAGTGGGGGAACGGAAGGTAAGGGTGGATGCGAATGTTTGCAGGGGCTTGAGAAAAGCTTCCAAAGTGGGATGTAGCAGATTTCGCTGGGTCCAGGCTTTTGTTAGTTTTATTTATGCCGATCGTGTGGACCAGAGTGCATCATCGATGAGCCGTCGGGGCGGGCTGGTCGGACTGCAAAAAAACTGGCTAGTCCAGAAAAAAGGCCGACAGGACCTTCCCTTTGCTGCAGACCCGACGGTGCGCTTGGGAGGTGTCACTCCCCCCACCGCACTTTAGTCCACGGTCCTCGTCCCACGAAGAAATCCAGGCGTGCTCGTCCCACGAAGGAATGCGGGCATTCTCGTCGGCAATGCCTAGGCGGCGTTTGGGGACCAATCCGTTCGTGGGTGTCTGCGGTCGATGGCGGGGAGTGGGGTGAGGATGGGGGCTGTGGGACGGCTGGCGAGTCACTCCAGGGTTGCACTGAGCCGGTTGGCGAGTCACTCGAGGGTTGCCTGGAAAGTTCCGGCGGTTGAGTTTCTGGAAAGTAAGACTCAGATGGGGTTGGCAAGGGTCGAGGAAAGTGGCTTGACGCCGGAGAGGGAACATGGCATGCATGATAAAAAGCAAATACGCTTTTTAGGTTTTTCAAAATGTTTTGGGTTTTTTTCTCGATTTTGCAAAACGTTTGTGGGTGAGACGCAGGATAACCATTAAAGACGAAAAAGGCGTGTTAATGGAAATAGCAAACGCTTACAAAATCCGAAAAACGGACCGGACGTTTGACCTGTCTACCGCGTCGGTCGGTTGCCTGGGCATGCGGCGGGATAGGTTGCGGGTCAAGGGGTACGGAGGTTCCGGTTATCCAGTGCTCGGGAAGTCACCACAGGTGCGGGTGCTTGTGCGAGAGCATCAGGATGGGCTGCAAGTGGCTCGTCAAAGAAAGCCACTTTAAGGCGGTCGATGGACACCGTTGTTCGATGACCATTCTGGTCTATAGTAAATGTTTCGGAGTCCGTTGCAGAACTCTGAAAGGGCCAGTGTAGGGAGGCTGGAGAGGGCGCCGCACTGCGTCGGTGCGGAGGAAGACGTGAGTGCAGGTAGAGAGTCCGCTGTGCATTTGCACATCTCTAGTCTGTTCACGGGGCGGGGTCGGGCGTAGTGAACGCATGCGTTGAGCTAGGGAGGACGCAAAGTTAGCGGAGGCATACCCGACGATGCGGGAGGTGAAACGAATTCTCCTGGTAACTTGAGCGTCGTGCCGTAAACCAACTCTGCTGGTGCACATTGCAAGTCAGCTTTGATGCTGCTGCGAATGCCTAAGAGAACGAGCGAAATGTTTTCGCTCCAGCTAGGGTCGGAGGAGGCGCAGAGCGAGGCTTTAAGCTGTCTATGGAAACGTTCAACTAGCCCGTTGGCTGCTGGGTGATACGGCTGTTGTATGGATGCGGCGACAACCTAAGAAGTTGCAGAACGTATCGAATTGTGAAGATTCGAAAGGCGTTCCGCGGTCAGTTGTGATCGTGGATGGGCATCCATAGTGCGAGTCCCACCGATATAAGAAGGCCCGGATAACAGGCGCTGCTATGCAGTCTGTTAAAGGAATGGCTTCTGGCCATCTGGTGAAGCGGTCGACACATGTAAGAATCTATACGAATTCGCGTGAAGGAGGCAATGTACATACCAGGTCAACGTGTACATGCGAGAACCGAGAGTCCTGGGCGGGAAATGAACCAAGAAGACTGCGGGTGTGACGATGTACTTTAGAGCGCTGGCATTGAAGGCAGGCGCGAGCCTAGGTACGAACATCTTTGTTTACGCGTGGCCAAACGAAACGTTCGGTGACCAGTTTCAAAGATGCACGGATACCGGGATGTGACAGCGGGTGCAGTGCGTCAAAGACTGTGCGTCTGAAGGAGACGGGCACGAGAGGTCTAGGACAACCTGTGGACTTGTCACAGAGGATGGTTCCTTCCGTGGTTTGGAGAGGAACAGATTGCACATGCAGCGAAGTGGACTGCAGAGTGCGCTGTATATCTTCGTCTTGAGCCTGAGCCGATGCCATTGTGGCAAGGTCTACGGTAGGCAGAGACTGGAAAATAAGATTGACGCGTGAGAGAGCGTCGGCGACGGGATTGTCGACACCTGAGACACGACGTATGTCAGCAGTGAACTGCGTGACAAAGTCTAGGTGTCTTGTTTCCCGTGGTGAGTATTTGTCGCAAGCAGAGTTGAAGGCAAAGATAAGGGGCTTGTGGTCAGTGTAGACCGTGAAAGCGCGGCCTTCGAGTGTGTGAGGAAAGGGACGTATTGCTAGGTAAATGGCCAGCAGTTCTCTGCCAAACGTGCTGTAGCGGGATTCCGCTGGCTGCAGGCGCTTGGAGAAGAACCCAAGGGGTTGCCATTGCCCACCAACGTGTTGTTGGAGGACGGCTCCTACCGCGACGTCTGAGGCATCAGTCGTAATAGAAAGAGGTGCAGTCGATTCGGAATGAGCGAGGAGGGCTATGTTGGAGATAGCATCCTTGAGCTCGGCGAAGGCTGCCTGTGCTGTGTCAGGGAAAGCGAACTTACGTTCATTTCCTCTGAGTAGGTCAGTCAGTGGCTGCATGAGCTGAGCGCAGCGCGGAATGAAGCGTCGATAGTAGTTGACCAAACCACAAAATCGACGGAGGTGCTTGAACGAAGTCGGAGCTGGAGAAATCCTTGATTGCCTGGATCTTATCAGGAAGGATTTCGATACCAGACGATGAAACGAGGTGGCCTAGGAATTCTACCGTTGTTTTGCCGAGTTCGCACTTAGTCGGGTTGACTGTGACACCGTGTTGGGTCAAGCGCTGGAAGAGAGTTCGAAGATGCTCGAGGTGCTCTTGTTCCGATGAACTGGCTACTAAGATATCATCGAGGTAGGAATATGCGAAGTCTAGGCCACGAGTAACATCGTGGATGAAGCGTTGGAAGGTTTGTGCGGCGTTGCACAGTCCAATGGCATTCTTAAAATTCAAACAAACCGAAAGGAGTGATTACGGCTGTTTTAGGAATGTCATGGTCTTCCACAGGTATCTGGTGATAGGCGCGAACCAGATCGATCTTGCTGAAGATCGTCTTACCTGTGAGGCATGCGGTAAGGTCCTGCATGTGTGGGATGGGATACCTATCTGGGACGGTTAGGCGATTGAGTGCGCGGTAATCACCGCAAGGCGCCAGTCACCAGATTTCTTGGGGACCATCTGCAGGGGCGAGGACCAAGGGCTGTCGGAAGGCGGATTATTCCAAGTTCAAGCATGTGCTCAAACTCCGCCTAGCTACCTTTAGTTTCTCAGGCGATAGTCGGCGTGGACGGCATGACACAGGTGGGCCATTCGTCCGTATGTGGTGCGTGACTTGAGCTGCCACGGGCAAAGCTGCGTTCATTGGCTGAACGAGCTTGGGATACTGAGAAAGGAGATTAGCGTAGTCTGACGAGGTCTGGGGAAATGCATAGACCGGGGATATAGATGTGACATCGGCGGTGATGCCACGTACGCTGAGTTTTGTTGCAGTGTCGACTATCATCTGGCGTTTCGCATCGACCAAGAGGTCGAAATGCCTGAGAAAGTCAATGCCGATGATGGCAAAGGGGACTGCAGCGACAGTGAATACCCAGCGGAAAGTGCGCCGAAGACCTAGGTCCAGGGTAAGTGACCGATGACCATAGGTGGCTATTGGCGTGCCATTGGCGGCACTGAGGCTTGTCGACAGAGAAGCGGTAGGCTCACCTGGCATAGGGGGAATGACGCTGACTTCCGCCCCGGTATCAACTAAGAACTGGGTATCGGAGTCATAATCCCTAATGTATATGAGACGACTTTGGGCTTTGCCGACGTTCGTGGCCATTACAGCCCGGCGTGGCGGATCATCTATAGCGGAGTAGCTACACGGCTGTACGCACTTACGGGCTTTAGTACCGAAACGCGAGTGGTAAAAGCAGTAACCTGAGGCATCAGGTTTTGTGCGACGGTGCGATGATCCAGAGCGGTTGCAGTGCTTACGTTTTAAGGTGAGTTCCTCGATCTGGCGCTGAAGCGACGCTATCTGCAATGATAATGCGTCTATTGCCGACGGCTGGCTAGTCGCGCCTGTCGTTGTGGTTGCGCCAGCGCAAAGCTGCTTAGGTGCTTTGGTTTCAGTCTCTGGCTGGTGCCGTTCGATGACGCGGTCTGCTAGATCTGCAATTGCTGTGATGGGCAAGTCACTTGCTACTGCAAGGATAGCCTGAGTGCTTGCAGGAAGGCGTTGCATCCACAGCTCGCGGAGAATCCCTACGTCCATGTTGGACGTGCCGATGAGCTGTTGCATTTCGCGCAACAAGGCTGAGGCATCCTATCTCCTAGCTGCAGATCACTAAATAGTTGCTGCAGACGGACCTTGTCAGAAGGCGTGATTCGCTGAATAATAGCCTGTTTAAGTGTCTCGTATTTCATTACTAGAGGGGGGCAAAGTATGATGTCTCTCACCTGCGAGGATATACTCTGAGGAAGGCAAGATATTAGCTGATTATACATGGCGAAATCAGAAGAAATCTTACGAATATAAAATACGGATTCTAAGTGCAAAAACCATAATAAAGGATCATTCTCCCAAAAAGGGGGAGGGGCTAAGGCAACAGAATTGACCATGCCAGGCTGAACAGGCGTTAACCGCGCATGGAGACGGCTTATCCTCTAGGTAATCAATTACAACAAGCAGATAAAAACGTGGTAGGTAAGAAGACGATATGAGCAGAAGTAAGGAAGCACAAAAGCACTGGAACGAGCTCACCAGAATGAAAATGCAAAATGGCGGGCGGCGTGTTCCTGACAGGGGGTCACCAATTGTTGGGCGGAACCTGGGATACTAGTCGGTAAGCAATGACACGTAAGACGTGTCAAATACGACAGTATAGAAGTCGGAGGCGACTGAACCCAACGTATATTGTGCAGGCTACAAGAATAGGAAGCGAATCAGACAGAGCGAGAAACGTGCAGCGAGGAACTCACCAAAACGGTTTTGTGACAACGGATGTGCAGTCAGTAAAACAAATGGACGTTTCGAAGGTTAAAACAACCATAAAATCCAATGTTACAAGATACTGAAAGAGCATGTTTTCTGTTGCACTACAATCTCATAATGGTTTGCCAGATTCTGAGGAACCCAAACCACATTTGCCGTCCGCTGCTGGAATTGAACCACAACACTAAACTAAGAGGTCACCCTCTGAAACTGACAATTCATTATAGCCGGCTTGAATGCCGTAGAAATTTCTTTTATCTCCGCGTGTGTCAGTCTTGGAACTCTCTCCCTAATTATGTCGTCTCTGCTCCCAATCTGGCGATATTTAAAAAACGTGTTGACGATGCATTGTCTCACTTACATTTCATTTCATGACTTGTTAGCCAGGGGCTACAAAACGCAACCAAACGGTGTCTTGCCAAACGCCTAACCAATGGATTGATGGATTTATACGTTTAATACGCGAACATCTCCGCTATTCCCCATAAGTCTATGGTGAGTCCACCACAACGCTTTTCACGTTATTATGCAATTGATTTTCGCAATAATTTCCATCCCACGAAACGAAGGAGCAACAAAGAATGTAAATGGCCAGCACAATCACTCTTCCTAGTAGAAGTTGCTGGGAAATTTCAGCGGACGCTATCGAAGGCTGCGCGGCGATCTCATATTAGCGTATGAAATATTGAGTGACCCCAACCACGTATGTCGCCATTTGCTGAAACTTAGCCACAACACGCTGCTCAGGGGTAACTGCTTAAAGTTGAAGGAACAATATAGCCGTCTAGAGTGTCGACGGAATTACTTTTCCCTTCGAGTTTGCAAACCATGGAACGCACTCTCAGACTCAGTAGTATCCTCTCCTACCCTGGATGTTTTCAAAAAACGATTAGATGTTGCCCTCAGCTCCCAACATTTTGTTACCTAAGCTCCTCTGTTGTGGATTACGCCAAGCATGTTTTCAACAGGACTAATGTATCAAATGGACCTAAGTGAGCGACCATATTTTATTTTCTCACTCCTTACCTCAACTATCACTGCGCCCCAGTGTCTTTCTGAATGTTTACGCGCGATATTTCTTTTTCATTTCATACTGATGTTAATTATCAAAGTATTCATCTCGGCAGGCGTTCGATAGATGACCCACACATATTTTAATTGCATCATATTCACCGCTACCATCCTACTGGACATGTCAAGCACTTGCTTTTATCTCGTGATAAATCATTGTTCATTGAACTTACACGACAGCCCAGTTGCGACTCAGGCATACCACGCGAACACTTGTTCTTCATAACTGTCAGAGCATCTCGTCGGGTAGTTCGGCCTCTCACGTTGTTTATCAGTTCACCTGCGGTTGCGGTGACATTTACATAGGCAGAACAAACCGTCAGTTAGCTCAGAGGGTAGCTGAACACTTGCCAAAGTGGTTGGGACAAGTGATTACGCAACAACATGGGACGAATCTGAGAATCAATCGGGGCCCGGCATCGTCTATCACCAAACACCTCATGACAACCCGCCATCACGTAAACCCCGAGACAGCGTTCAAATTGTTATTACGTAACAAAAACCCGATAATGCTAGCAAGTAGTGAGGCGTTGTTAATTAAGGCTTAGCAACCTGTGCTATGTGCACAGAAACTCTTGAGGCAATCCATCCGGTTGCCATGGTCTTGACTGTGACATTTTGATTCGTGGAGCACATTTTCCCATGTAAATAATCTCTTGTATGTTTCTAATCTTATTGTGTTTGCGACTGAGGAGAACAATCGAAATGTTGACATATCGCAACCTCTGTCTTCTCGCTGCCTTAACGAAATGGATGAAGGGGACCCACTGTCTTAACTTTTAGTTTACTTTTTAACAGAAAGTGTTGGTACTCTGCCTTACTTAAAGTGACCGAAACGTGAAACTAGTACTAGAGATTCCTTCAAACTCGACAATGAACAGCGGATACAGCAGTTGTGTCTATGTCTACCTACTATTTCGCGAACGTCAGGAATCGGCACCAGCAATATATCTACAATAAACTGTGTCCGAGTTTCGGCATTGCTCTCTCTCGCCCCAAATTCTACACTAGGCCATCGATCTCAAACGCACTTTGAACAATTCAGGCACAGATAGACTGAACTGAAAGTGGAATCCTACTAGTTCCTGTGGTCGTTTGCTGTTACTGCTAGAACCCCTAGTTCCTGTTCTTCGGCTTAAATGGATATCATTCAGTTAACTATGGCTCACTTTGCTCATCACGTCTGATCGCAGTTTACATCAGAGCAAATATCGCTCTAGCAGGTTTAAATAGTGACCGCGTTAAAAACATTATTCTGTGGTAAACCCACACACAAATTCTAGTCCCAACTCGTCTTAAGAGTAAACTGACACTTAAAGATAAGCTTCATGATACTTGGCTCAGCGTAGTCCCTATTATACAAACACCCCATCAATGTTTGTCTTCCTTTGTAACCACCAGGTAACTCTACAGACATTGAACAGTGACGTATTTATATCTATAGTTGTAAATGGCACGACGTTTGAAGCAGGTATTGCTTTAAATTTACCTGCTTGAGCATGTTCCGTAGACTTTTGAATTATTGTTCGCTTGCCCTGACAGAAAACTGACCGCCTATTTCTGTTTCCTTGTGAGCCGCTAGTCGCTTAATGATGGTAATTCTCCAATATAATGGGTGTGGAGTACACATCAAATAAGATGGAGAATCAAACCTCAAGATAATATACACTTAAATGGCC